CTTAAATAAATTAATAAACATGTCCTACTTATCTGTTGTGTGCAACAGTTTTAGGCAGATCAGCCCCAATCCTTATCTTCTGGGTCCCGTGCCGGCACTCCTGTCTCTTCTTCAACAAGTTCCACCCTAGGAAGCGGCTTCCTATGGGGACACTTGTGCAGGTTTGATCCCAAACTGCGCTGCCTGTGTTCATAGACACAAACAGTGTGACTCGGCCAGGCCCCCACTCCCTTGTTACATGATTTGATTGTCAGCAGACCCAATGGTTCCCACTGCTGCCTCTTTGTCCTACAAGGAGAGAAAAGAGTAGAGAGAGCCGCAGCTCTCGGGCACAGTGCTGGATCGAGATAGGGCTCAGATAAGTATAAGAGGGAGCTGGGGGGCGGAGTCCTAATAACATATATTGTTTTTACCCTAATGCAGAGAATGCACTAAAGTACATGACCTTTAAAAAAAAAGCCTTTAGGGCTACTTAAAAAAAAACATGTTCACAATACTACTAGTGGGTATTTGAAAAATAATGCCTTAAAAAATTATATTTCCATAGATCACTCAGTCAAAAGTGACAGATCTTTTTTGTTCATTGATGTGTTGTCGATAATTGTTTGAAATTTCTCCTTACCAAATGTTTATACAGAGATTAGAAACGTGCTGCACTGACATTAGCCACATTATGACTTTGATGTGTGGCTTTCTAAATGTACTTTTTGTAGAAACATTTCTCTGTTAGCTTGTCTCTCTATTGTAAATGTATAGAAAATCGAAAAGGAGTTTGCTGTCAAAATATCACTAAGTACTTAAGAGGGATTTCTAGTCACCGCTATTCTTATCTTGGTAAAGAAAATCATTGTACTTTTCATGATCCACACTGAAAGCAAATGATTCTATACTTTTGTATCGTTATGCTTTAACTCCCTCTCCCAAAGTTTTTTACTTAGCTGTCCTTGGTTCAGCAAACTCCATGACCAGTCCCTTGCTTTTTCTGTGTACGTGTGCAGAAAATCCTATGGATTCCTAAGGGATGGCTGTCTATCATTGGAATGCAAAATTGACTGCTGTCCATAACAAATGGATGGAATTTTCTCCATGCATGCACAGATCGGAGTGAGACACTGGCCAGAGATTTTGCAGTGTGACTGTATGGCTCCCTGGGGATTGCACGGCATGGACCTTGCAGGTATGAGAACAGGTGAGTAAAAAACCTTGAGGGCAAGGAGGTGCTGGGGGTTAACTTAAAGGATAACTATACAAAAGTGCAGTTATCCTTCAAATGGACTTCCAAAAGCTAACTTTTCCTTGACCTCATCCATAAACCTCTGCTTTATTCAATTAGTTTGGTGGCGGATAAACATGGTGTGGTGGTGTTTGAGGATACATAAGAATCAAATATAGATATACATATTTATATATGAATTGAAGGACTTTTTTTTTTTTTTATCATGTGACATTATGGACTATTAAGATATAGATATATTGGTTTGGTGCACATATAATTATTGTTGTATATATTTGTTGTCTTTTGCACATATAATCATTGTTTTATATATATTTCTTTTATTAATTAGCACATTTATGTTCATATTTCAAAATGGGATGTGCTCTATAATTGTTAGATATATTAGAATATGGTAATATTGGTTGGATATATAACACTTAATAGGGTTTTGTTTTTGCGCATAGCACCTTTTTTTGTTTTGCACTTTAGTAATTTTTGCATGGGAATACAGTGACAGTCTGTATATCTATGATATATGCATATTAATAGGGTGTTGGAGTGCTGCTTTAAAGAATTTTTTATCGCGTTCCTTTTGTTTCCAGAGAGTAGACAGCTGCTTCCCCCGTGTGTTTTTTTTTTTTTTGGGGTAGCACCCTATACATGTCCAGTGGTGCCGTCCATTAGTAGAAATTGATCATAAAGCTCTGCTGCCTTCTGCTGCATCTAACACACTTCCACTACACAACCAAAAGTGTTCCACATCTTTGAACCTCCTGAAATGCTGCCATCAATCTAATGCAAATCACAGTCCCCAACACTCAGGCACATTCCCTCATGATAACCCCTGTTTTTGCTATAGGATGTTGGGGAAATACAACACAAATGCAGATTTTCTCTTTCTCTTAATATCTGCATCAGCAGAGGGCATCTGGAGGCCTAATAAACAAGGCAGGGTTATTGCTAGACTCTGGCACCCAGGGCATGTGTTTTATACTAAGTTCCTCAGGTCTCATTTGTAGAATTTGCTGCTGTTACCCTAGTATGGAATATCATGTAGTTTATCTGTGCTTAAACATATGTATTATTTTTTTTTAACTAGTGTTGCTGCATTTTATTTTATTTTAATGTCATAATTATGAAATCAACAATCTAACAAAGATCTTTTGATTAAATACAGTGAAAGGCGTTCCCAAAAATCAGCTTCTTTCTTTATGGCTTAGAGATATGCTTTACAAAATGTGGTGGTGTTACAAGGCATTTTAGGGAAATTTGAAAGGGCTTTCTGAAAGCCCTGGTTCTCTGACATGTGAGACCACTGTCAACAAAGGGCCAGAGCCCCAATAGTTCTAATGAACTGCTACAACATAGGGAAAATAGATGAAAGGTAACAAAATCAGTAAAGAGAAAACAAAGAGCAGAGATAATATAGAGAAAAATAAACAGCTTTAACCACTTTTCAAAACGGTATGCTACAAACCAGCGACATATCATTCAAGTGACCAGGGTGTACTCCAGGTCTTTTAGGAAGAAAGGTAAGATGTCTGTGCCATGCTGTACCTACGTAAGCCTTAATGGCAGACAGGGCCCTGATTGTAGCGTGCTAGGACTGCAGCATGGAGCTTCAGAAGCAAACATGAAACAGAAAATAACAGCTCATGCAATGTAATATCTACATGAGCTAATATTGTTACATTTGCATTTGAAATTAAATGTTGCTTATGTAAAAAAATAATAATTACTTACTGATGCCAACTAGTTTATATGATATATTTGAATTATTATAAACCCAGCAGGCTCCTTGTACTCCACAGTCATTCAAGTTCCAAGAATGCAGCTACTGTCTATAACAACTCCAAATAATATAGGTCCAGGTATAGAACCTCAAAACAGAAACCAAACCATATTGTTAATATAAAACAAATTGAACATCCCATACACAGTTGTTAAGCATGCAAATAACATCAAAAAAGCTATTCTAAAATATAAATAAAATGTTAGAACTAAAAAAACTCCCAATGGAAGAATTTGGCATTAGGCAAAAAGAATAAACATAATACTTTTTTATTCAAAAGTCAATTTACCATGCAACAGCAAGTCCAGCCAAGGATAAAACATTAATTCTATACACAGTGGAGTCTAGACATTCATTTTTTCACACAAAATTCACACAACTTTAATCCGGGATTAACATATTTTTCTAATTGAATCACATCTTAAGTGAAAACATTTATAAACAGACCCCCTTGTGTTTATGTCAGATCTGATGAAGTCACACTCTGAAGGCCTCTTTAAAGGCTTCTGGGCAAATAAATTTATCATGTGATTCAGTTTTGTGGTAGGTCAGTTCCTTAAACCCAAAATAGATTCAGGCCAAATAATACTCCTTGATGTGGTAGGATAAAGTGGTTCACTTTCACTTCAATTCAGTTCAGCTGGAGTGAGGGAAGGGGGTTTGATGGAAGATAACACTTCTCTATTAAGGGAAGTGTCCCATTGTTTGCCTCACATCAGCCTTGACCCTCTTGTCAGAGGCACATAATGCATGCCACAGTTAGTGAGTGTTTTTTATTCAGTTTTTGAAACCAACTTTTTTTGTGGGATTGAGTCTCTTTATACAGCCAAGTGTTGGGCTACAACAACAAGGTGGAAGAGTCATTGCTCTTTGTCTCCCTCTCTCTATTGTGATATTAATACTGGGCTGCACCTGTCTCCTCCAGCCAGCAGGAGGAGGGCTAAAGTCAAGTGAGTCCATAGACTTTATTTCAGACTGCCTGGAACCCTGGGAGCTGAAGTCTCCAGGACCTACAGGTCCAACAGAACCCGAGCAACAGGAGGAGTCAGGAGAGGTTGTTTTATTGCCTGCCAACTATCTTGGCGCTGTGGGGGTCCATGCATACACAGCTGCCAGTGCATTTATGTGAAAGCAGGAGGTTAAGCCAGCTAGACGCAAGTCTAAGGTTGGGAGCGGAGTCATCGGAGGTTCAAGAGCACCATCAGCCATGCTGCCTTTGCTCAATTGCGGCAGGGAGACCACAGTGTTCATCTAACTGTCCACTTCAGCCAGCTGAATTGCAAAATCACCAAACTGAGCTTGAGGTTGGTCCCTTCCACCGCTAAATGGAAATCAGTGGGAGGGCCACTGGCCCAACCTTACACTGTTAGCTGAAACTGAGCCACTGAAAGCAGGAAAAGAGTTCCAAATCCACACCACTACTATACCGAACCTGTACTGCATTTCTACCAAACCTGTACCTCACTTCTACTAAATCTATAATGCACCATTAGCAATTCTGAGCAATAATTACACTGAACTGTCATAATCTCTGACCTACATTCACATTATTCTGTGCTAAACTGTATTGCACCTCTCTACATATCACTGCATGCAGGTTTAAAGGACAATCATTAACCTCTTCTCATCCGCCTATCGCACATGGACGTGGACGGGAAGCTTTGCCGATGCAGGCTAACATACTTGTACGTCAGCCTTCATCAATGGCTCCTGTGCAGCTCACAGAACATGCACTAATCACAGCACTCACACAGTAAACAATGGAATGTGAAAGTAAAGATCACTCCTTTCTGCTTTCAGTGTGAGAGCAGAGAGAAGTGATCCTGCAGTCTATGAGTGTACAGCCTGTCAGGTTGCTTGTACACGTACAGATTGCTGTTCCAGCTACTCCAGTGTCCCTAATCAATGCCCCTGTGTCCCTGATCACTGCCCCAGTATATACATAATAAAACATGCAACCAACCCGTCATCTGTCTCAGTGTGCACAAAAATACCCCCATACACCATACCAATGTCCTGATCACAGCCATACCCCCAAACCAACACCCTGATCACTGTCATTTGCCATACCAACACCCTGATCACTGCCATATGCCAAACCAGCGCCCTGATCATCTCCATACACCATACCAGCGCCCTGATCACTGCCATACACCATACCACCATCCTGATCACCACCATACCCCATACCAGCATCCTGATCACCGCCATGCCCCATACCAACACCCTGATCACTGCCATATGCCAAACCAGCGCCCTGATCATCTCCATACACTTTACCAGCGCCTTGATAACCGCCATACACCATACCACCATCCTGATCACCACCATATCCTATACCAGCATCCTGATCACCGCCATGCCCCATATCAGCATCCTGATCCCCACCATGCCCTATACTAGAATACTGATCACCCCCCCAAATCCCCAAACCAGCATCCTGATTACTGCGCCCTGATCACCTCCATGCACCATAACAGCACCCTGATCACCTCCATACACCATACCAGCGCCCTGATCACCGCCATACACCATACCAGCGTTCTGATCACCGCCATATCCCATACCAGCATTCTGATCACCACCATGCCCTATACCAGCATCCTGATCACCGCCATACCCCATATCAGCCTCCTGATCACCCCCATACCAGCATCTTCACTACTGCCATACCAGCATCATGATCACTGCCATACCTCATGCTAACGTTCTGATCACCGCCATACCTCATACCAGTGTCTTGATCGCTTTCATATGCCATACCTGTGTTTGGCATTTTAGGGTCTCAACTGATCAATTTTCAAATATATATCCCATAGTTTGCAGACTCTCTATAGCTTTCACACAGACTAAATAATATACACTGTTGTAGGTTATTTTTATCCCAAACATGTAGCAGAATACATGCTGTCCTAAATTTGTGAAGAAAAATTATTTATTTGCAAAATTTTATAACAAAAAGTCAGCATAAAATAATTTTTTTCACAAAATTTTCAGTATTTTTTCATTTATACTGTATAGCAAAAATGAAAAAAACCCAGTGATGATCAAATACCACCAAAAAAGGCTCTGGCTAAAAAAAAAGAATAAAAATTCATATGGGTACAGTGTTGCATGGCTGAGTGAGTGTCACTCAAAGTGTGACAGTGCTGAAAGCTGAAAAGTTGGAAGAGGGTTAAAGTGTCCATACTTGAAGTGGTTAAGTGCACCAAGTCTTGTTAAAGGGCCCCAATGATAGCAGGCAGAAGATCCACCTTAACGGCTGTCACTTTCATAATTCATTGTGCAATTACCCTTCATCCCATTTCTTGTCATTTACACACTGACAGTGCCTACCCTGTCGGTTTAGGCCTAGCATAGCCACCATTAGTATACACTGGCAGTATAGTTCCTGCATTTGGTAGGTCAAGTCTTACTCACTTTTGCATTTTGCATGACCTTGATAATGCTCATGCTGACCTGGATGCCAAATGTCACTTTATGCTAGCCCTTATTGTTAGTCATCTTGTATGCTGAACTGTGTTCCCACAATTGCCAATTTATGTGATTTCCAGTTTTTATGTGATTTCAAGTTTACTAATTGGTTTGGTGCCTGCTCTTTGATATAGCACTACTATTGGGTACTAGGAATTACTATCTTTTTCATTGTGTCTGCTTGCTGTTTCACACTCAGCCTAGTGTGTCAGAGGGGCCAAGGCCTCTGAGAAAGTCGAGGCAAAACACAGAGGACTCATCCTAACCAGCAGTTCCTGCGGGGATAGTGCTACACTCACAACACTCATTATTGAGGCACCTTGCTACTATGCACACTCAAAACCTAAGGTTATTGGGAATTATAGGTAGAGGATGGCAATGTCTCTATGACTGAGTTCTGGAGGGGTGTACCTGCCACTTTGATTACTAGAATTTAATGAATGGCAACTATTCCATTATGGGGTTTTCTTTAAAAATGAGAAAAATTAATTCAATGTTACTGTAAATGATTGTAAATAAGGTGACATATACCCAATAATCGAATTAATGACCATTGTACCCCAAGGGCGAATGATCTTTGCTTGTCTGGCACACACCTGAAAGAAAAAAGATGACAATTTATATTTAAGAAATATATTTCTTGCAGAAAGTCCAAGATGTTCCACTTCCATAAACAGCAAAATATTTTTACAGTCATTCTAGTTATGTTGTAAAAACTTGATGAGTCTTTCTTTCTGAGGTCTTACCAGGAACCTTGTAGAACTTATGTCTTCAAGTTGATCCTTGGTTCCTGTGCAGCATCTTGGGTTGTAAGCCTAGGCTGTACAGAAGGCACTTCCTTATTTCCAATTTAAGATTTTTTTACCTTTCAGAATATGGCATGTTGCAGCATCTATTATATATTTAGTAATTATGGTGATCATTTTAGCCAGGTTAGGTATGTCCAATCTATTATTTGCCAGTCAGTACTGTTATATGCCAGTCAGTACCGTTTAATCACTTATTTAAGTGAAAAATTCTTCTTTCTTGGTCTACCTGACTTTGACTTGGTATCAAGAGATCCCTGAATTTTCCACTTCTTAATAAGTATTAGAACAGTACTGACTGGTATATTGAAGGCTATGCATATATTTTTATATCCTTTTCCATCTTTTCAAAAAAGTAATTACCTTGCTATGCAGGTCTTTTGAGTTCTTTTCTGCTCCCCATGGCTCAGTATCTAGCCTGTATAGTGCACCCATGTAAGAGCTAACAAACTCATTGACTATACACAGACACTAATTGCAATTTAAAAATCCACGGATGTGGGAAATTAACCTTTAAGTGCCATTTTAACTTGTGAGTGTCACCTTGTGTGTCTGCATCAAGGCCAAACATTCCAGGGAATGTAAATGTTTGATCAGCGCCATTTGGGTGATTTCTGTTATTATGATTTAAAAAGAAGACAAACACCTATGGTAATAAATGGCTTCATATGATCACTATCCTTAAGACAGTTATTTTTGCATGATCAGTCATATTTTCAATATCAATGCCAAAATTTCATGATGAACTATATACACTGCTCAAAAAATTACAGGAACACTTTTTATTCAGAGTATTTTGTGCATTTGACTAGGGTCAGTGTCACTACTGGTAGCATGAGGCAATACCTGGACCCTACAGAGGTTGCACAGGCAGTCCAACTCCTCCAGGATGGCACATCAATATGTGCCATTACCAGAAGGTTTGCTGCGTCTCCCAGCTAGGTCTCAAGAGCATAGAGGAGATTCCAGGAGACAGGCAGTTACTCTAGGAGAGCTGGACAGGGCCGTTGAAGGTCTTTAACTCATCAACATAACTAGTATCTGCTCCCTTGTGCAAAGAGGAACAGGATGAGAGATTTGGCATAAAATTCTCAGACAAGTCTTGTTTTAACCCATGCCCATCCCCAAATCAACCTATACACAGAAAAAAGCCTCTGTCCCTAACAGAGAAGAGTGAATAATAGTCCCATTATTCTTTTTTAAGAAAGGGTGTTTAAGAAATACATTACTGAGTCATGGAGATGGATATATGCACCTTCTTTTTGGAAAGCTCAGCCGTGTTGTTTAGTGTTGCTTTTTTTTAATTTTTATTCATTATTTTTTAATGAATGAAATCATCTTCATGACTCAATAATGGTGCATTTCTAATCTAGCAACTACAATATATTCCCTATAAAACAAGTATTAGTGTTAAATGCTATAGATTCTCTTTTCTTAATGCTTTGGTTAATCCTCCAATACTGTTCTTTCACATCCTGTCAGGGCAGGCGTGGTGGAATGGGCAGGCAGGCCTTATGGTAAGGTCATGCACCGACTGACGACAGCCACCACCCACAGACCGGAGTCCCTCAGGGCGCGGAGTCTAAGCCCCAGGCTGCATTTCACCAGGGCCCCTGATGGTGGGGATGGACTTGACGCAGCCTGAGACCAGGTCGCGGCCCCCCGAGTAACCCCAGCTGCGGTAACAGCTGCCGCCAATGGCGTATAGCTGGTGGGGCCAGATGGGAAGACGTATAGCGTGGTCGGACAGGCCAGATCGATAACAGCGGAACAGACAGTACAAGACGGTAGGCAAGAATACTCAGGTCACGGGCTGGGTTCAGCAACGGGAGGTCAGGTAATGGGATAAGGCAAAGAATAGTCTTGTCAAAGCCGAGTCGGTTTCCAGGAAAGTCACGAGAGCTGAACGAGAGCTTGCTGCAATGAAACATACAGGACACGAATGCAAAGAGCAACTGCAGACAGCAGGCTTAAATGAAATCAGCCACACCCTCCTGGAGGAGGAGCTGCAGAGTCCCGAAAGCATAAAGGCTCCCACCATGCTCTGCAGAAACCCAAGATGGATGCCAGCACATGGAGCAACACAAGCTCCGAGGAAAGGCAGGACCTTGACACATCCATTACCTTCCAACTTTCTTAAATGTGTTTCTTAAACACCCTTTCTGAAAATGCATTATATATATATAAATAAAAACATCCATTTAATTGTTAGATGTGTTTTACATGCAGCTGACAAAAACATTTTCTTTCTTGATATCAGTAATTCACTGCACTGGAGCACCTAGATTGGCTGAAGGCGGGCAGCAGTGAAGTCCAAACAAGGTATATTGCATTGCAAAATGTCTAACACTTTGTGAGAGAAGGCAAGAGCAATGTGATGTCATGACTGTGCTGTTGCTCCTTTCCTGTACAGACATGGAGTGGGGCAGATCCTAGACCAGGCTTTATTATTCAACTGTAGTCTAATATGCACAGAAGTCTAAGGAAATGTAGAACCTGACTGTGCTGCTGAGCAAAACTGGTCACACAGGTTTATGAATTTTTAGGCACATAGTACACCTTACATATATGCATTTCTATAGTGTATTTAGTGGTGTGCCTGCAATTCAGCTTTCAGCAAAAGGCAAACCCTTAAAAATATGGAAAATTGCTACCCTTAACATACACATTTCAGGATTTAACAGTCTACTGTAGTTAGACAAGCCAATATGTGATTAATTAGCATGGATTTCTGCATACTCCTAGTCTTAAAGCAAAAATCCAGATCAGCAGCTACAAAGTTAAATTTTTTTTAATTCACTGTTTTACCTGTCAAAGAATTTGTAATTCTGCTCAGACATCATGTAATCCAAAAACACCTGCCACATCAGTGACTTCACTTCTCTTACTACAGTAAAGCCAATCTGCCCCAAACCTGTGATTGGTCAATAAAGGAGCAATAACATATCAAATTAGATCACCTCTCTTCTCACTTAGCTCTCTTCTTTTGTAAGTAAGTTCACTGTCACATATGCAATGCTGACTGGCATATATATATATATATATATATATATGTATATACACATATATAAAAACACACACAGTATAAATACACATTGATCAGACATAACTTTATGACCACCCACCTAATATTGAGTAGGTTCCCCTTTAGCTGTCAAATGTACCCCTTTTACCTACCAAAACAGCCACGACCCATTGATGCATGGTCTCCACTAGACCACCAAAGGTATGCTGTGGTATCTGGCACCAAGCCATCAGTAGCAGATCCTTTAAAGTGGTACTAAAGGCTTTGCATTCTATGCATTAAGTTACATAATCCTCCATTAGCTCCTGCTACTGTCAATCACAGTCAGTGAGGAGAAAGTAGGGTC